AAGGTCAGGAAACACTGGGTTGAAGTGGGGAGGGGGACTCTCATTTATTAGATCTTATGGGGAAGTAAAACTGGGGAACAGAAACCTCATTGGTTGCCTCTAGTTTTAATTCTCTTAAACCAGGGTTAGCGTACAGCCAGCTTAGGTTTCGAAAGCATTGCGGCATCCTTAAAAAAAAAAAAAAATCCTCTTTTTTCCCACACTTCTTAATCATGACTGTCTCCCACGAAATGACAGAACACGCCAAACCGCCTCAGCTGAAGCCCTTTCCCGACCTCCTTTAATAGAATTATGTCGATGTGTTAAAATTAATTAAATTGGCTTTAATAAGCGAGGCGAGTGGAAGCGGAGAAGAGCTGAAATGCCTCTTTCCCCCCCCCCCCCCCCCCCCCCCCCCTTAAAACGTGGATCCTTCCTGATCCACGTTTCCTGCAAATTTCACCTCCTTCCAGAAAATGCCGTATAACAACGGTAGCGTTTTGCCCTGTACAAATGACAGAATAAATCTGTAGTTTACCAAGATGGTTTTATGCCGCGATATCACACCTTGGTTCTCCCTTAGATAACTTGCTTCTGAAAGCATCTGTTCCTGAGCTGGATATTCTCATCGTTATTTTGGAAGGATTCCAACTCTTCAAGCTTCTAATCTTCTCCCGAATGCTGGTCTTAGCAGAGAGGAGGAGGAGGAGGAGGAGGAGGAGGAGCAAAGAAGGGTCAGGGGTCCATAACACGTACTACTTTCAGCCTCGGGGGTCTACAAGAACCCATGCTACGAGACCACGATGCGGGAGGGGGTGGTGGCATAGGCATCCATCAGACCAAGGTTTAGCAGGATCCCGGGCATCAGCTGTGAATCCCTGACTCACTCGCGTGTTCGAGTGGCAAAGGGACAAGTTGTCAGCCGTAGGCGGGCGAGGACCATTTCCAAGGCAGAACCACCTCGGATCTCGCTCGGTTTGCCAGCCTCATCTGCTCGCCATCTGCCCCAACGCCTCTGCTGGTTGGTCATCCTCTCTCTCTCTCTCTCTGACCTTGAACAGAAGGTGCCTCCAGCTCAGTTGCGCGTCCGTGAAACCTATGAGCTGCAATAGGGCCCTTTTGGGTGAGGAGGGGGCAGAGTTGAGAGGAAGGGGGGTTGAGCTTTATGAGACGTGACCAAAACTTGGGGATCGGGTTGGTCCTCATTGAAGGGGGGGGGGAACGTCTAGGTTTTCCCACCCCGCATTCACAGCCTTCCCGGGTAGCAAAAGATAACGTTAATTTTACCTCCGCTGGTGGTTGTCGACGTTTCAAGGCCGTTGAGCCAGCGCTGTCCGAAGAGATCTCCGCGGTCGTGTGGCCAAGCCCGACTTCACGCACTGCTGTTTGCTTCCCACCGAAGTGGTACCCATTGGTCTACTTGCATCCGCGTGCTTTCGAACTACTAGGTTATAGCAGGAGCTGCGGCGAGAATGGGGGCTCACCCCATCCCATGGCGCTCAGTTCTCGAACGCCGAGATGCCGGCTTTCCGTCCAAGCCCAGGGCCTTTAAACACAAACCAAGGCAGGACATGGTCTAGTTCTACTTCACTGTAGGGCTACGTCAACAGAACCTCCCAAGTCCTGAGATTCCCGTTCTCCCTCCCTTTCCTTTACAGCTTCATAAGCTTGGGAAGGTCCCTTCTGAGTCCTTTTTTCTCCATCCCTTAGACAGCTCTGGGCTATGCCGTCCCTTATCTGCTCATTCCTAGCCAGCATTCCTTTGCCAGGGTCTTTCTCACATACCCTGAAGGACAGAAGGTCCTGCTTAGGGAGAAGAAGCCAAGACCTCTGGGTTCAACCAAGCCTCCTGGGCAGCTAGACCTCTCCCCCTGCGAAGTTCAGTATGGCCCCCCCTTCCTCCCACCTCTCCTTGAGACAGGCCGGGCCATTCACTGACCATCCCAGGTGACCCTCTCATTCCACTCTTTCCGGCCCTCTCGGCTCCAGCCTTTGTGGGTTGGGAGGGGGGGTGGCTGGGTGTCCCTTGGCCCACAAAACCCCCTGCCTGGGTGGCCTGTGACCCTCCCCTCTTGTGTGATGTCACAATGCGACCAGGTTGCATCCTCCGTCTCCAAGCGACCGGAAGGGGGCCGTCCGTCTCTGGTGTCCATTGACTTCCTTCCAGGTCTACAATTCGGCTCGGTTCTCTGCGGACGCTTCCTCTCGGAGGAGCACGCCGGGCCCCAAATGGCCATGGAATTCAGGTCTCCGATGCTGGCATTCTGACTCCAGGGCTTCTCCCGTGGGCGTTCGGCCCGGGAATCCTGCCCTTATCCCCCCCCCCCTTCCAGTCCCCTTCGCGAGAATGGATTTTCATCTGATTCTTGTCTACTGTCTCATCCGAAGAGTTGGAAGGGACACTTGGAGGTCTTCTCGTCCAGCCCCCTGCTCAGTCAGGAGAACCTAAACCATTTCAGACCAGGGACTGTCCAGTCTCTTCTTAAAAGCCTCCAGGGATGGAGCCCCCCACAACTTCTGGTGGCAAGCAGTTCCACCGGTTAATTGTCCTCCCTGTTGGGAAGCTTCTCCTTAATTCCAAGTTGCTTCTCTCCCCCCGATCAGTTTCCATCCTTTGCTTCTTTTGTCCTGCCTTCTGGTGCTTTGGAAAATTAATTGACCTCCCTCCCCCCCCCTCTCTTCTTTGGGGCGGCCCCTCAGATAACAGATGAGTTGGAAGGGACCCTGTAGGTCATCTAGTCCAACCCCCCCTCCCCCCGCCCAAGCGGGAGATCGTTTGCTTCTCCTCCTGCCTTCTGGTGCTTTGGAGAATAGCTTGACACCACCACCCCACTTCCTTGGGGCAGCCCCTCAAATACTGGAAGACTGCTCTCAAGTCCCTTCTTTTCTTTAGACTGGCCGGACCCCAACACTGCAACCCTTCTTCCTATGTTTTAGTCCCCGGGCCTTTAATCCTCCTAGTTAGCTCTTCTCTGCACGTTTTCTTTTCCCCCCAAAAGCCTCAACCTCCTTTTTTGGGGGGAGTTGAAACTTGGAAGGGCCCAAACCGAGTTCCAAGACTTGGCTAGGGCAGACCAAGGATTCCACGGCCTAAGTCCCAGCCCTGGGGGTGATTTGGCCAAAAAAGAGAGAGAGAGAGAGAGAGAAAAAGTTAAAAAAAAATCCCCAATCCTTCAGTGACTCGCTGTCTGTTGAGTGGGTGGGTGGGTGGGCAGGCTCCCAGTCTATTTGTTCACATGGGCTTTTAGGCAACTGAATCTACCAGCCTAGATCAGAGCAGAGATGAGGCGGAAAATGGGAGCTCGGGAAACGCTATTAAAAAAAGCCCGACAACCGGCAATTGAGGGCCGGCGAGGAGCTGGGTGACTTTTCCAAGAATTGGTTTTTTATTGGCTCTGAGGGAGGCAGTTTTCTGCTTGGTTCGTGGATGGCCGTATAACGCCCACCAGCGTGGGTCAAAAACACCCCCCCTAGGCTGGATGGGGGTGGGAGGTGGAGGGATTTGTAATGGTGCCAGGCCTCAGAGAATGTGTAGCTGAATGAGGTCAGCTAGTTTGGGTCACGAAACGTCTGGAAAGAAACCACCAAGCTCAGAGGACACCAAGGAGCCCACAGGTCTGCTCCTCCTCCCCCCTCCTCCTCTCTGCAAACCCCTCTCCTTCTAGCACTGATGCTGTTACCTAGTTGGGTCCTGAAACGTTGCAAATCTGGGTGGTCGCTCGTTGTCACACAATCTACCCCCTTTACCTGCTCCGATAACTTCTTTCTCCTTAGCGGGTCCAGCTGTGTAACAAGGCAACTTCCTTCAGGTAGCTTCTTGTCTCCCGGTCCGTCCATCCCCCACCCCACCAAAAAAAACCAACACACACACCCCCAACCAACCCCTCACTCAGTCTGGCTTTTCTTTCCCCCTTCTCCTCCCCTTCCTGAAATCAGCAGCGATCAAGACAGGGGGCGTCTCACCCCTTCTCCGGACGTCATCGTCCTCTCGGACAACGAAGCCTCCAGCCCTCGCTCCAATTCCCGCATAGAAGAGCGGCTGAAGGCAGCCAACCTGGAAATGTTCAAGGTACAGCGAGGGGACAGAACCGAACCCAATGAAACGGGGGTTCGCCAGAGCGACCGGAGGCTTGCGGCTTGCCCAATTCGCTTCCCCGGGTTGGGTCGGGTTCCCAGGACACATCAGTGTCTTAAAACCAGCTCAGGTGGAGGTCTCCAAACTTGGCAGCTTTGAAGACACGCGGACTTCCAACTCCCAGAATTCTCCTGTTTCTTTTTTTCTCTTAACCTCCTAAAGTGGAGAGAAATTGCAGAGGAAGGGATTCCAAGAGAGTAAGCTATGCTGGCTGGGGAGAATTCTGGGAGTTGAAGAGTCCCCAAGTCTTAAAAGTTGGCCAAGTTTGGGGACCCCTGAGCCTAAGGAGAGGCCGGGGGGTCCCCGCTGAGCGAGTCCTGCCGCAAGGCCGCCCTCCACCCTCACCTCTTGGTCTCCCTTCCCACAGGGGAAAGGGGTCGAGGAGAGGCAGCAGCTCATCAAACAGCTCCGGGACGAGTTGCGGTTAGAGGAAGCCCGGCTGGTGCTGTTGAAGAAACTACGGCAAAGCCAGCTGCAGAAGGAGAACGTAGTACAGAAGGTGAGGCAGGCGAGCGCCGGTAACCCCTCCGGAAGAAGCCCGGTGGACTCCAACTCCCAGTTTTCCCCAGGCCGGCTGAGGAATGCTGGGAGTTGAAGTCCACCAGTCTTAAAAAGTTTGGAGAGCCCCGGTTTAGCCGAAAACCGCATGGACACCCAACTTTTATCTTCTCCCTTTTTGCCAGGGAAATCCTCCCCGGCCAGGTGGGTAGGATTATTCCCCCATGTCCCCTCCCTGGCGAGCTGATCAGGAAAAATATCTATTTTCTTGAAGATTGTCCAAGAAACGTTCCCCCCTTTCTTTTTAAATCGACCATCTTTCTCATTGATTCTCTCTCTCTTTCCTCTTTCTTTTTCCCGCCCTGCGGCCAGACTCCGGTTGTCCAGAACGCAGCATCTATAGTCCAGCCATCTCCTGCCCACGTCGGACAGCAGGCTCTGTCCAAACTCCCCTCCCGACCTGGAGTTCAAGGGGTTGAGCCCCAAAACCTCAGAACATTACAGGTAAGGGAATCTCTCCCCAGACGTGAATCGGCTGCCTTGTCGAGTCTGGGGCTCGTTTTGCCACGGTGTGAAACGAGCGGCGGAAACCCGGGTTACCTTAACCAAAAAGGCCTTTTGCAAGTTTCAGAGCTCGGTCACCGATGGTGTCCGATTATGTGTGTGTGTGTTTTACATACCCTCCCTTATCTTCCACCCCCATGAAATCGGTCCAAATCAGCGCAGAGTAAATTCCCTGGGAACCCGCTTGTTTTGTTGAGTTGCCGGAGCGGCGTAGCTCCATGTAGGGCCTCACCTGTGGCAGGTCACGCTGCGTTCCCACCTCCACACAGACCCTGAAATCTCCTCACGGTGCAGGTGTCAGAATATGAATTACGATACACCCAGAGGGTGGGGGGGAAACCAGGGTCAAGGGTGACAACGAATGATGTGCCTGTGGAGTCGGCTACACCCAGGCAGTGCCGGCATATTAACTCCCAATAAATCTTTTGGAAGTTCGGCTCAAAGATAATTTAATTGGGGGGTAACTGCCGGGATCCTGACAACGGATCAGAAATGGGTGTGCCCAGAAAAAAATCAGAAGCACAAGTGACGAGAATATAAAGACGAATCGTCCTCGTCTGACATCAGGGAATTCTAGAAGAGGCGGTTGGGTCTAGTGGTGAGGGCACCAAGCTAGGAAGCAGGAGGCTGCGAATTTTAGTCCCGCCTTGGGCAAGAAAGCCAGATGGATGACTAAGCAGGGTCCAGCCTGGGCAGATTTGGGATGGGCAACTCCGGGCATCGCTAAGTTGGAGCGGGAAGTTGGCAAATTATCCCAGCGATCACCGTCCGGCTCTTTTAAAGACTTAACCTTTCTCTTGCTTCTTGGGACAGGGTCACAGTGTCATCCGATCGGCCACCAATACCGCCCTTCCCCACATGCTTATATCCCAGCGCGTTATTGCCCCCAACCCCACACAGCTTCAAGGGCAGCGCATCCCTCCCAAACCAGGCCTGATCCGCAGCAGCACGCCGAACATGAGCCCTGCTATCAATTACCAGCCGGTGAGTAACGGGAAGCCTTCCCGTTTGGAGAGAAAGGGATGGAAACACACAAGAGAATAGAGGAAGGGATGGAAGCAGAAAGGAGAAGAGAGAAAGGGATGGGAACACA